GAAAAGAAACATTTTTCGAAGTCAAAGCATAAAGTGGTTTTAACATCTGCGAAAATTTAGGCACAAACTGCCGAAAATACGAAACCAATCCAATAAACTGCCTTAATTGGTGCACCGACTGCGGAGGAATCAAATTCACCAAGGCACGTATCTTTCGCGGATTTGGTCGGATTTCACCCTCTCTAACTTCGAATCCCAAATATTCAACGCTGGACTTAAGAAAAGAACATTTTGCAACATTAAAAGAGAAGCCAGCTTTGGTAAGCGTTTGCAAAACTACTCGTAACCTATCCAGGGCTTCATTTTTATTGCCCGCGACTATCATAATGTCGTCCATATAAACAACGACATATGAATGAGTAAGTTCACCTAATGTCTTGTTAACGGCCCTTTGAAATACCGATGGGGCATTCTTAAGCCCCATAGGCATAGCCAAAAACTCGAATTGTCCTTCTGGTGTCACAAAAGCGGTGCGCTCGATTGAGTTGGGATGAATTGGAATTTGATGAAACCCACTTGCCATATCTATGCAGGTAAAATATTTAGCTCCACACAATCGGGAAATCTGATCAGAAATCAGTGGCAAATGATATTTATCAGACACAGTGTTTGCGTTCAACTCTCTATAGTCTACACACAGGCGGTCCGAACCATTTTTCTTTCGGACAAGTATCATCGGGCTCGCAAACGGAGAACAACTAGGGCGTATAATATTTGCCTTTAACAATTCATCCACTATTCGTCTTACTTGTTCTTTTTCTTCAACACTCAACCTAAAGGGGCGTCTCTGTACTGTCTTGTTAGGATCAATCAGACGTATTTCCAATTGTCCAGTAGTCACGCGGCTCTGTGGAACTCCATTTATAAATGATTTAGAATAGTCTATTAAAATTGTTATCAACTGATCTCTATCAGATCCTACCAAATCGGTATCAACGCTTGCCAGGTCAGGAGTGCTTTCGGGAACCAACACAGGATATATAGATTTTTCCTTAAATATAACAAGCGATTTAGAGGTAATTGTTACACCGATTCCCTGGCTCAAAATCTCTCGACCAATCATTACTTCGTAATTCATGTAGTTGTTTAGAACCACGTGAAACAGAATCTCAAAAGAATATTCGCTTATCATAACATTTGCAAGTATTTGTAAAGTGCTACATACTGTATTATTACCAATACCCCTTAGTACAACTACATTGTTTACTCTAGTTCCGGAAAGTCTCTGTGACGCAGCTTCCTTGATGAGCGAGCATTCGGCTCCGGAATCAAAACAAAATGGAAACGACTCACCAAATTGCATCAGCGCTCCCATGGGCTCGACGACAGTACACACGTTAACGTGCTTAACGTTAATGTTGTTGGAAGGTGTGCCACGCTCTGGGCAAACTGTAGATACATGCCCAACTTTTCCGCACTTGTAGCAGGTCAGAGCTGACCGATTCTTATCTCCTGTGCTGGAAACGTGCTGATTGTGAATTGGTTGGTGCCGAGCTGCTTCTCTCTTAAAACGACAGTCGGCCATCTTATGACCAAGTTTCCCACAATTGTGACACTTGATGTATGGAAATTGCTTGACCCTTTTTGCTGGCGGAGCAGATGAATTATCAGTAGAACACTGACCCTGTCGTACGTCAAATGAAAACGCCTTCAATTCTTGATGCAGCTCGTTGCGCGTCTTAATGTCCGTTGTAAACACTAAACGCTGCAGTCTCTTGTCAACTCCAGCGGTATGCGCCAAAACAACAGAAACGGCTATTTGTTCCACGGTCAATGATTTCCATCTGGACATGAGCGAAGTGACCATTCTGCTTCCATACAACGAAAGGCATTCTCCAGCATTTGGGCGCCCATTTAGCAGATTCATAACGGTTGCCGCCAAGGTCTCCGTACCAGTAAAATGTTGCAAAAATAATTCTCGGAATTGTGTCCATGTTATGCCCGCAAAGCAAGTTTGCGACAGCCAATGTGACGTGGTTCCCTCTAGCGACTGGCTAAGAGACATTACAAGAGCGCTGCCCTCCAACGGGTTTTCAGAGAGAATGTAGTCGACAGTTGAACACCAAGAGAGTGCGTCCGCGCCTGCACGATCAGGATTGAATTTGCGGTAGTACGACGACTATTGCGTCGTTTGATTGCGTACGCTGCACGGTTTTAATGAGCTCCATAAAATGGCGATTTTGCGACTCCAACAGCATTCGGAGGTTTTCGTCAGAACCGGCCTGAGGAGTAGTCCATCCCACTTCTGATGTCGTAGAGTCATTTTTACAATAATACTCTACATTGTTTTCCTCATCCTCTCCTTCTGCCACCTCGTCGACAAAACGTTTCCTGGCGCGTGGCATGACTTCTCGCTTCACACTCCAAAAACTGACTGCCTCCGCAGTTCTTTTCTAATTGCGATCTTCTCTTTTCCAGTCATCACTCACACATGCAAGAATTTTGCCAACACACACTCAAGCCTTGAGTGTACTTCTTTTTGCTCTCCTTCTTAATCTGCTTTACTGCAGATGTACTCTCTTTCATGCCCACGCCAGGCTACGTCAGACAAGAACTGCCAGTCCACGAAAGTAGCAGAGGAACAAACAAACAGTACCGTGGTTAAAGACACACCAAACACGGAAGTTACATTTATAAATCATTTTCTTTATTTAAATTAAAAAGTTAATATGCGACATGTATATATGTTCTGCGTCCAAGATGGTTTGATGTATGTGAATATGTGATATATGTAATATATGTACAAACTCTGGTTACCTCCTCCAAGTCGCTGCATTCGACGGTGACTCACTGCTGGATCGTGCGGACACCTGCTACCTCTCCCAGTGACTCGCCGACCAAGTTCTGGAAGGACGAGGTTTCCGCTCCAGACTTGTTTAGCTGGAGAAGGAGTTCCCCCTTCTGGGTACGGCGAATTCTTGCCACGGCTTCGCTTAGCCCCTGGAGCTTCTCGTCCAGATTGAGCTTTCGCAGAATATCTGCGTAGCTACTCGGGTCTTTCGCCTCTATGATGATGGCATCAGGGCGTGCCCTTTTGGTCAGCACACGAGTAGGCTTAGGCTTTCTTGACCTCGTCTTTGTCGTCACCTTTTTCCACTCCGTGCTCGCTGGAGGTGCCGTTGGAGTCTCCATGTTGGCTGCTTCGGGTGTCTTTGTTTCTACTCCGGCAGAGCAGGTTGCCGTCTGTGTAACAGCCCCTTTGCTCCTCTTGTTGCCTGGAGTGTTCGCATTAATCTGCTTCCTCTTCGTCTCAGTCGCTGTTCGGAACAACGGCGAGGTTTGGGAGGACTGTTATAGCATTTCCATCAGATTTGCGATCTCCTGGCCAAGATCGCGTAGCTCCGTGCTGCTCTGCTCCTTTTGTGGTCGCTCCATTTGAGTCCTTTCCTGGGCTCCTCTACCTAATGTAGCTGCTGGTCTCACCTCGTCCGGTGATCTCGCCAGTCTTGCACTCTTCGCGAATGCCTTTTCTGCCTCCGTCTCTGCTTGTTTTGTTAAAAATTGTTCCATTCTGTTGGGTCCCAACTCCCGGGTCGTCGTTCCTCTTCGTTTGTGCAGTCGCGTTGCTGATCCCAGGTTATCTTTGCAAGCAGTGAGGCCATGCTAGGGTTGACTCTTGCCCTCACGGGGTCAAGAGTTCAGAGCCGGATCCGCGCTAGTCGGGAGCCATGCTCAACCGAGCCTGAACCACCAACGAAGAAGGAAGCGTGTCTAGGAGAATTGCTCGTTTTTAACGGGACGGGGCGTCATCAGCATTAGCCCAGAAGCCATTTTGGCAGGATGTCACTCCGCTTACTGAGGTTCCAGAATACTGACGCCGTCAGCCCAAAACGTCGATCCATGTATATGTCCAGTGCCCAATCCCCAGGGTCTTATTGGTCTCAACCCTGGTCGCCTTCTCGTGTCTGCAAACGAGATGTGTCGCGTCTACCCGAGGATACCTGGCATACTGCCGGAGGTCACGAGTTGCATTTACTGCGTCAGAAAGGAATCGACCTGACCGCTACCAAGTTAGCGGTAGTCAGAGTCTTTCCGCCTGCTAGAGGCACCTTTCCTTGCAGAGAAATCCCCTTGCCATATCTGTTCGTAATCTACAACATTATGTGACTGTCCCGCGTTGTCGAATTCCATGGAAGTGTCCAGTATCCTAATCAAGGCTATACTGGTCTCGGCCTTGATGCCGTTTTTGTCGCCTCTTGCGACCAGCAGCGGCTCGCTGTAGCTGTGCCTAATGGTAGACTCCATTACCCTAGCACAATCTGGCGCCATCTGTTGGTGGGGCACATACCCCCCGCGTGTAGATCTGCTATGTAGATCGTCGCCGTAACATGCTAGCGCCATCTGTGGTCCCCTAGCCTACTTGTCTACATATAGATCTAGGCGTGCGCCACCTGCCGGAGCTCTACTATAGCTCTATGGTCCGCTTCCGAGCATTGGTCGACAGCTAACGTCTAGATCAGCTGGCATGACTAGTACAATTTGGGAGCAGAACCAGACGGCACAGTCAAAGACAATAATGACAATTATAATTAAACAACAACAAATTACAACTGCAACAAGTGACAGAGGACAGAGAGAGAGAGACCAAATAAAGGATGATAATCTCACCCCTCCCCCCTGGCCATCGTCCTGCGCTCCGGATTGTTCACCGTCTTGGGGTTGACGAGGCTGCGCTGTCCACGATAGGTGCGCGCTTTGTGTGCACGATATGTGCGCGCATCGTGTGAACGATATGTGCGCCTCTGATCGTGCTGCCAGACCCTCTTCACGTGTTGCCGGATCACTCCCCTTTTCACGTGTTTCTTCCGCTTGCGGTATCTATTGTATACGCTGGCCGGCCGCGTTTTCGCGTAAGTTTTATGTTACTGCCCTCGTGGGCTCTGTGTACCTCGCGTGTTAACCCCACGACTATCCCGACATCAAGCTGCCATGCCCCGGGGTAAGTTGTACTTCATTCTTTATTCATTTTAATTTCATTCACAAATTTTCCCTCCCCCCTTTCATACCTCGACGGAGACCTCGACCTGGTTTGCCGATGCCGATACCCGGTACCGCACCCCGCGCACGAGACGCTTTACGCGTCGACCGATCCGGCGTGTGCCTTCCACCGCCCGAGCCACTGCCTCCGGCCATTCTTCAACATCCACATGTCGCCAGCGGACGTTCTCCCCCGTCGGATCCTCCACCGACTGCTGTCTCTGCAGCTGCGGCCGGGCGACCTCAGCCCTGGGATCCGGGCACGACGATTGCCGCACTAGGACAGGCCTTGCCTTGTCTTTCGCAGGTGAGGGCCACACCCACGGACCGCGCTGCCACCTCTCACCTTCCGTGTCCGCTGCCGGTTCTTTCGGCGCCGTTGCTGGCGCTGCCGGTTCCTCCGTCACCGTCGCTGCCGGTACCTACGTCGCCGCTGCCGGTAAATCCGTCGCCGTCGCCGTCGCTGGCGCTGCCGCCTCTTCCGTCGCTGCCGCTGTCAGTGCCTCTGTCGCCGTCGCAGCCGGTGCCTTCGCTGCTGCGTGTGCTCCCGCTGCCGCTGCCGCTGGCTCCCACGCCTCCGACGCCGTCTCCTCTGCCATCCTGGCCTCTGCCTGCCTCCGGTGCTGTCGTGGATCACGCGCGTTGCTTCGCGGGGCTGGTTTCTCCTCCCATACCTTCCGTTCTTCATGCGCTTCCGATGGTGCGGGTCCCGACGCCCACGTTATGTGGATAGCTTGGTGGTGCCATATCATGCCATTCCTTACCGCCGTGTGCACGTTTTGCGACACAAATGGCCCGCACACCGCGGTCTCCGGACCACCCCACTGGGGCTGCTGGGCCTCTTCCTGTGGCGGCTCCTTCGGTGCCTCCTCCTGTCGTGACGACGACTGTTGTGGCGGTGCGTTCGGCGTTGGCGATTTTGGTGGCGGTGACTGCGGGGGCGTTGGATGTTGTGTGCTCTGTGGCTGCGGCGGTGGCTCGGGATGCCGGCGTTCCCATAAGCGTGCCTCCTCACCCTGTTGGGGTTGCTGCTGCCCCGCCGGTCTGCTAAACAGACCCGTCTTCACCTTGAGGAACCTCGGAGGAGGCGGAGCCTGCTCCTCGTTCCTCTCGTGAGCTTCGGCTTCCCGCCGCGCGGCCTCCATCTGCCGTTGCAGGGCGGCCTGTGCTTCCCGCATTATGGCCTTGTTCAGCGCCGCCTCCCTTTGCGCCTTCTCCGCTGCCTTGCTTCGGGCCTCCTCCTCATGTCGCCGCTCTTCCTCGCGTCGTCGCTCCTCCTCGCGTCGCCGCTCTTCCTCGCGTCGTCGCTCCTCCTCGCGTCGCCGCTCTTCCTCGCGTCGTCGCTCCTCCTCGCGTCGCCGCTCTTCCTCGCGTCGTCGCTCCTCCTCGCGTCGCCGCCCCTCTTCGCGTCGCGCCTCTGCTGCTGCTCGCCGGTTGCGCTGCTGCTCCATCTGGCTCCTCCGCACGGTCTCGGCTGGTGGCCGCGCTGCTGGTGTCGCTGCCGGCTGTGCTGCTGGCGTCGCTGGCGGCTGCGCTGCTGTCGTCGCCATTGGCTGCTCTGCTGGCCTCGCTGTCGGGTGTGCTGAGGCCTGCGCTCTCCGTTGCAACGGTACCTCTGCCGTCCGTCTCTGCTGCGATGCTGCTGGCCTTGACGTCGGCTGCGATGGCGTCGCTGGCGGCATGGTTTTCATCGGCTGCTTCGGCTCCCGTTGCCCTGCAGCTTCGCGCTTCTGCTCACGCAAATAGCGCTCCGCCGATCGGATGGCGATGCCGAGGAACGCTGCGTCGCGTCGCAGCTCCTGCTCCCGTGCCCGTTTCTCCTCGTCGTTGGCTCTCCTCGCAGCCGGCTCGACGGAGCCCACCACCACGTCGCTGTCCTCCTCCTCCGTTGCTCCTGGCGACACTTCCGGCTCCCGTCTGCTTCGAGGAGACGCCCACGTGGACCACTCGCTCCTTGGGGATGCCATGGGGCTTGTGAATGGGGACGCCATGAGCTCCAACTCTGGAGTCTCGCTCCGCCGATCGCACCGCTCACCTCGCGAGGGCTCCGCCCGTCGCTGGCGCTGGATCTCGGGATTGCGGCTCCCCACACTTCTGGCTTGTTCCTCCAAGTAAAATTCCAACATGGCGATTTTTCTTCTTTTTTTTTTCCTCCTCTCTTTTTAAATCCGCGCTTGCGTCTGTGTCTACCTCTGGCTCGTGACTGATCGACAGCTCCAGCCTCTGCCGCCGTCGAGCCCTTGCTGTTTTTCCCGTCGTTCCGTCGTACGGTAGTTGCTCATTCCTTCTCCCGCTCTCTCGAAGGTTCCTGCCTCTCAGCACTGGGGCTCTTCGCCGCGTTAACCCTTCCGCGGCCGGTGGGGGTCTGCTCGCACCCGATCATACCTGATCCCACCCCCTTTTGTTTGAAGAAACTTTAAATATATATATTTTCCTTTTCACATTTATTATATTCTTTTTTTCCTTTTTTTTTTCTTAGGCCTTGCCGCCCGGCTTCCCCTCTCCCCCGAACTGATCGACCCCCCTTCGGCCCATGTGAGTACTGTGAATGTGCGCTATCCTTTAATGACTCTGGCTTCTTTTCCAGCCCATCTTGCATCCTTGATCCGTGATGCCAATCGTCATACCTGCCCCTGACTAACAGGTCCTCCGACCTTTCGCCCGGCTGCAATATGACGATCGGCCCTGGCTCGTCACCTCATTGCCGCCTTCGGTTTGGCCTTTGGCGTGACCTCTGCCCCATGCAGCTGCTTCGGACCCGAGGATCATCCGACTCCTCGCCCGTCAGCAACGCGTGGGTAGTGTCTTCTGCCCGGCCAAGCCCGACGGTTGTAGATGACCCAGGCACACTGGACCCCAGGACCCGGATTATCACTCCCACTTCACTGGACCTCCGAGGGTATCTCTCCGCCCGGGTCTCGGTCAGCCGAACGCCTTTGGCTTCTGGATCTCTCCGCCCGTTTCTGATTCCTTATTTTCCTTCGTCGTTTGCCTGTGGCTTCAGATCCCCAATATGTGCCGTCCGTGTATGCCTATCGCTGTCTCTACGCAGCTTGCATATCACCGGTGATACGAAATCAGTGATCTGGTAGGGACCGGCATACCTTGGGGCCAATTTTGCTGCGAACCCCTCGGCTGCGTTAGACAGGTGGTGCTGTTTAACCCACACCTTTTCACCGACCTTGGGCTTCCAAGCTCTCTTTCGCAAGTTGTAATATCTTGCCTGATCCTGGGCTGCTCTTTCCAAATTCCGCCTCACCAGCTGAAAAAGTTCTTTCAGCTTTACCGCGTGTTCGTCTGGAGTGTTTGTCTCCTGACCCGTGCCGAGTGTTTCCTCATCGTACAACGCCTTCGGCAGCCTGGGCTCTCTCCCTTGCACTATGAATGCTGGTGCGAATCCAGTGGACTCAGTGACCCCAGAGTTCACGGCCAGCATTAACTCGGGCCACTTCTCGTCCCAGCATCTCTGGTCCCCTTCGGTGAACTGCGCGATCATGGTTTTCACCGTTCTGTTGGTGCGTTCCGTCGGGTTTTCTTGCGGCGTGTACGGTGCCGTAAGCTGGTGTCGAAGTCCCATCTGATCCAGAAACTTTTTAAACGCCCGACTGGTGAATTGTACCCCATTGTCTGTGATCATCACCTTGGGTACGCCGAACCGGGCCAATATTCTTTCTCTGAAAGCTTTTATCAGGGCTTCTGCCGTGGCCTTTCTCAGTGGCACCAGCTCGGTCCATTTTGAAAACCGGTCCACCAGCACCAATAGCATGGCGTTGCCGTGTTTTGATCTGGGCAATGGTCCCACAAAATCCGCGCACACCGTCGCCCATGGTTCCTCTGGTACTTGTGTCAGCATCTTCCCGGCCGCCTGTGCCTGACTTGGTTTGAAACGCATGCAGGTGTCACATTTCCTGACATACGTCCTCACGTCTCGGTGCATCCCCGGCCAGTAGTACCTGGCAGCTATCCTTGCCATCATCTTCCTGCCGCCGGCGTGACCCGCCTCCGGGATATCGTGGTTCTCCCTCATGACCCGCTCCCGTCGATCCTTCGGCACGCAAAGCTTCCAAGCTACTACTTCTTCGTCGCCGGCCGGGTGCGGGATATGCCGGTACACTCCACCTGCCTCCTCCACATAATCCGGGAACTTGGCCGGCTCCTTTCTCATCTTCTCCTTGACCTTTTTTATCCATGAGCATTGCTCTTCGGGCTCCTGTCCAACGTCCTCCGCTCGCATACATCGCTCTTCCATGGGCTGTCGAGATAGCGCAACAGCCACTACGTTCTGCTGCCCCTTCCTATACGCTATTTCGAAGTCGTATTGCTGCAACTCTAGCGCCCATCTGGCGATACCCCCGTCGGGCTCTCTATAGTGTTGAGCCATTTCAATGCCATGTGGTCGGTGACCACCTTGAAGTGATACCCTTCCAAATAGGGTTTGAGCTTCCTGATGGCCCACACAATTGCCAGGCATTCCTTCTCTGTAGCCGAGTAATTCTTCTCCGCACTGTTCAGCGTCCGGCTGGCGTATGAGATCACCCTTTCGCCCTTCTCTGTTTCTTGGGTGAGAATCGCTCCCAATCCATAGTCGCTGGCGTCCGTCTGTACCACAAACTTCTTCGAGAAATCCGGGCAGGTTAGTACCGGATCAGCTACCAGCCGACCCTTCACGGACTCAAATGCCTGTTGTTGCTCTGATGCCCATTCCCACTTCACCTTTTTCTTCAGCAATGTGCTGAGCGGCTGTACCATGGTGGCGAACCCTGGCACGAATCGTCGATACCATGAGGCGACGCCCAGGTACTGGCGAAGCTCTTTCACGTTCGCCGGTGGCTTCAGCTCTGCAATGGCGGCCACCTTTTCCGGATCAGTGCAGATGCCTTCTCCCGTCACCAAATGACCCAGGTACCGCAGCTCCCTTCGGCCGAACTGGCATTTTTCCACATTCAACCTTAAGTTGGCCCTTTTTAAGAGTCGGAAAACCTCCTCCAGATTACGTTGGTGCTCCTCTTTCGTTCGGCCTATAACGATGATATCGTCTCGGTATGCGAAAGCATGCGGCATCATTTCCGGACCAATAACCTGGTCCAACGCCCTCTGAAACGTGGCCGAGGCCGAATGTAGCCCGAACGGCATCACTTTCCATTGGAACAATCCCTTGCCTGGCACCGTGAAGGCTGTGAACTTCCGGCTATCCTTTTCCAGTGGTATTTGCCAATACCCGTCCTTCAAATCCAAGCTACTGATGAACCGTGCTTCCCTCAGCTGATCTAAAATGTAGTCAATCCGCGGCATTGGGTATGTGTCCTTGATAGACTTTGCATTGATTTGTCGGAAGTCCACGCACAACCTCCACTGACCAGTTTTCTTTTTAACCATTACGATGGGGGAACTATAAGGGCTCTTCGATGGCTCGATACACCCCATTTCCAGCAGCTTGTCTACCTTTTGGTTGATCTCCGCCTGCATCTTTGGGTTCTTAGGGTAGTATCGCTGCTTAACCGGTATCGCATCGCTCATTGTGATCGTATGCACCGCCACGTTCGATACCCCTTTCATCCTCTTGAATTCCTCCAATTCCTTGGCAAGAAATTCTTCGAACGGGCCTTCCTCTGCACTGTCGCGGCGCCTGCTTCCCGTGGGATACTCGGCCTCGGACTCCTCATCCGCCATTCGTTCCGGGGACTCCTCATTGGCCTCCACTACTGCCACCGACAGCCTTTCTTCCAACCGCCCTTTCCGTCGGCCTCTCGCAGGGATCACGACCCTGTGCCCCGCACAGGTCACCTCTGCTCCGACTGCGGCAATGAAATCCCAGCCTAGTACCAGCGCATCGATGACTCCTGGCAGCACCAGAAGCGCCATTGAGACCACTTTGTCTCCGAACGCCAGTTCCACTTCGATTTTTGTATCGATGGTTCGACGGCGTCCATCGGCCAAACGCACCTGCTTGTCGGTTTTCTCCTCGCGCCCCTCCCCTCGCAGCTGTTCCGCCAGCTCACAGCTGACAAAGCTGCTAGTGGCCCCTGTGTCGACCGTGGCCTTCCATTTCCTCCCTGCGATGTCCCCCACGGCTGACAGCTGCACATCCTCCACGGTGAGTTCACTGATTAGGTTTCGGGGGCTGCAGCTTGCGACCCCGGCACGGCCCTCCTCGACTTGAGTCGCGGGGCGTTTCCCGACTTTTTGCAGCACTGCCATGTCGTGACGCCGACCTTTCCACACCTCCAGCAGAATGTCAACGGGCGCCCTTGACATGCCTGTGACCAGTGCTCGTCGCTTCCGCATCGTCGGCATGCTTGGGCGGGATTCTTAACGTATCCCCCCTCTATATTGGAATGTGTCTGGTCCTCCGTCGCCGGTGCCACCACTTTCGCTTTTGTTTGTCCCGCTACGGCGGCCGGCTCGTCCTTGCACCTCCGGCATATTTCAGTCACGGCCAACTTCGAGAAGGGATTTGTTGCCTTCGCTCTTCCCGCTGGACTCTCCTTCTGGAACTCTACGCGATCCCTCTCCAGAGCCTCGAACTCATCCGCTAGCATCATCATGTGGTCCAGGTCCTTGCACCTATGTGGCCTGATGAATATACGCAGGTCTGGCATGCTATTCTCGCGGATGAGCTCCATCTGCTCCTCGGGAGTACATTTGAGGGGTCTCATGAGGGTCTGCATGTCCACCATGTAGTCCTTGAATGGCTCTCCCCATTTTTGCTTCCTTTGTCGTACCTCTTGGAGCAACTTCTCGAAGTACTCCCTCGGCAAGAAGTAGGCCTGGAAGCTTGTTGCGTTTGCCACTGCCGATTATTGGCGATGAACCACATCAACGCCCGGCCCTTCAGCAATTCTGGCATCGCTCTGGGAATCAGATTCACGTCCAGACCGTGCCGACCATTCGACCTGCTCCAGAAACTCCAGGGGCTTCGCCGTCCCATCGAAACGGAACGACCATTCCCTCACCTGTTTGGCTACGTTCGCGTATAATATGCGCGACTGCTTCCCGGCCTGCGCCTCGGGAACTTCCCGCCCCTCTTCGTTGCGGCTCCTCGATGGTTCCCGCGTCGTGGTGTTCCGGGCCTCCGCTGCATCCACACTCTTTGGCCGTGGTCTACTGACGGACGGCCTCGGGGAGCGGCTCCTGTCTGCTCCTATCGCCAGGCTTGCTATGAGGTCCTCTGCCGGCATTTTCCACACCGATGACGCGCCCGCACCTCCCGGCAATGGCAGACGCTCGTACGCGTCGGGCCTATCTTCCGCTGGCAAGGGTGAAGCTCTACCTGCCCGGAGCTCCCAGGCCTCCAGCATATCTGCGCACTCTGGGTCCGCCTCGTGCTTCTCCACCCAGTCCTTAAATTGTCTCCGCATTTCGGACACGGTGCCTTCCAGTTCCAGCCCAAACTCTAGGGCACACCGGATCAGTTCTTCCTTCCTCAGGGAATGGATCCATTGTCGGCCCCTCATGGTGTATAGATCCCTCGCTCAGTACCGCCCTTCCCGATGCACTCCTTTCCTTGCTTGTCGTGAGGCCCCACGTTGGGCGCCAGTTGTAACGAACTGTTTCTGTCCGTCTAAATCAGCGAGGCTGGCTCAGCGGCCGACGGTTCGTTGCAAAAAATTTGTATGTTGCCTCACAGACACGAAAGAATGCACGGGTGGGTTTAATTACTTGCTGTGGGTGTTTTATTGGTATCTTATACTTATGGGATCTTACGTTCTATACAACAATGGATCGTTCTTCAGTTCTATACGCTCTCTCGCTCTCGCCTCAGGCTCCTCGCTGGTGCTGTGGCTATGCGTCCGACCTGGCTCCCGCCTGATCTACACACACAACTCCGCACCCACTGAGTCGCTTTTGATCGCCTTTGCGGAAGCGGTACCTGTCGTCCCTCCTTTGGCACCTCGTAGACCTTGTTCCCCTTGCCGGGTCGTACTGCTGCCTGTTGGATGGGTCACTTTGGTTCTTCCTTCGACTCTCACGTTGACTTTCCTTGTCAGTTGTCCTCTCGCACTCGCTTGTGTTCACGCTTTTTCCTCGTTGCTCGCCCTCCACTGACTGTCCTCCTTCACTGTTGCCGGGCTCCTCTTATACCCTCGCTTCGACGCTAGCGTCCGCGCCTCTGCCTAGCAACAGCGGTAAATCCGTGCGCCGCTGGTAATTTTCCATCGGCCTCTTCGCTTGATTCCCTCACTTTCTTAACGGGACCGGGCTGGTGGCGTGATCTCATGTCCATACATGGACATGCGCTGGACCGCTGCCATCGGCCTCTTCGCTTGATTCCCTCACGTTCTTAACGGGACCGGGCTGGTGGCGCGATCTCATGGACATGCGCTGGACCGCTGCCGGCCCGCTCCCGCCGTTCCTAGCCTGACGTGAGCGCCGCTCCTTGCGGGCTCCTCCATTCCCGACTCCCTCCACGGGCTCGTACCGGAGGCATGATCTCATGCCCATATATGGTCATGCGCTGGACCCCTGCCACTCTAACGGACCCCGGCTCCCGGCCGGCTCTCACTCTCTTGTGAATTCGCCGTGAATTCTCGTCTTAACCCTTACTTGGTTCCCTTGTGAGGAAACTCCATTCCTCACACTTCACATTCGAGTAATTGTCATTAGGGTATTCCGCGTGCGACGTATTCAACGACGGTAAATAAATTCGTTTCTCAACTTATAAAAAGGTATTCGTCTCGAAAATCGTCCGCTTCGCACAAGTACGCACGCATACGCACTTGCTGGTTCTGTGTGTACTCACACATGCAAGCGGATTCTATTTTTAGATTCGTACGCTCTCAAATTTGTGCGAGCGAGATGGCGCGAATATCGTCGCATGACGAAAATTTGGCTTGCATATGGCAATTGAAATGTATGAGCGTTACGCATCTTATACTTATATTGTCTTTGCTAGTACCGTACGAAGTACCGTAGCTACTGCCAGGTTGCATTGCAGCGCCACATATGTTCGTTGTATAGTGCTGTGGACTTGAGCTTCCACACGCCGTGCGCATACCGCTACGGGTAGCTGTACCCAAAGTACCCAAGGTGTACCGCGCTCGCACCTACACCGGCACGCCTAGCTTGACATACGAACGATGCAGCAGCAGTCTAGGTATACATATTTATATACAGCTTTTGCTTCTACTACTCTACGCCGTCGCGAATACCATGCAGAAAATTGTCTGGCCGAGCCATATCTACATTCGTCTTCACACCCACGCTCACGAACAGTAGCCGGAAAAGGGGAGAGCGATTACCGTGGCAGAGCTGTGCCGATCACCGGCTGCCAGTGAATCTTCCGTTTAGTCGGACAACTAGGCAGTATTGTTTTGTTAGTGACTTCTTTTGAAAGAAACTAAAGTGCATATGCCTAGACAGCGTTAATTGATTTCTGTGACGTTGGATAAGCCGTCTCTAATGGTTTTAAGTGATATGTTTTCTTTTGTTTGTGCATTAAGTAAGGAAAGATAATTTGGTAAAGAATGGCTGGAGAGAGCCAATACACTGAATACATTGAATCGCGAATCGAAACGGTATTAACGTTTAACTTGGCGTCGACCGTAAATTTATTGGCAGTACTGTAATGCTGACATTCGATTATTTCTTTTGCTCTGCTCTTTCGCAAGCCGAGGTAATTTACGTTCCTGTTGTCCATCTCGACAAGCGAACATATGGGTGAATACCCAACAGACAATTAATGTGCACGTAAACGAGGCACAGCGCTCCCGAAGTTTTTTTTTGTATTTCATCGGAACCATCTTCCGAATAGTTTTTCTAGTGTCTTAACTCATTATGATTAATTCGATTATGATTATGATTACTCCATACGCTAATTTCATTATCTTTGTTCATTACCCTAGTATAAGCCTTTAACCAGTATATTGTTACTCACATCTTCATATTATTATATCATTACATTTCAGCTTATTTGCACTCATATATATGTAAAAGTTTATGTTTAAATGTATTTTTATTGACTAGATATATTGGTGATGGATACAGATTCGGTGAATATGTAATTATATTCTTTGTTAAGATATGTTTCAAAGCGACTGACAACTGGTAAAAATACGACTGATGTTAACTACGACTGACGAAAATGACGACTGACAACGGAATGGAGACGAGAGACCTCTGAGCGGCGTCGGCTGACGCCTCTTGACTCTCGATCTTGCGATCTCCCCTTTGCTCTCTCTGCTCTCAGCTCTCTCGTGGAGGTCTGCGCTTGTGTGTGTGACCCAGCCTCTTACAATCATTTTGATCATTGTAGTAGTAAATACCTAGGAAACATTAGCAGCTATGAAAGCTTTTAGGAATCATAATTAAATAAACAGTTTATGATGAACTCAAGTTAATTGTGCCGTATTTAAGGATCATGTGACGCCGAGATTACATTAGCTAGCTTAATTAGAGTACGACCAACATATCCGCGTATTTAGGACCAGTGTGATCAAGGAAGTATTACGAGTTGCAACAACACCACAAGCAACTCCCGCTCGACTTCGACTGCTGTTGAATCTGACAAAATCTGTCCGTTCTATTTAATTTATACCATCTGAACCTGAAACCGCATAAAAAACATAAAAAAATACCGAATTTCAAAAATTCTTAAAAAATAAAACTAAACCATAAAAAAAAACATAATATTTAAAATTTTGTAAATCCTGAAATCTATCAGAAAAAGTCATTTTGGTCTACAGCAGGAAGAAAAAGTTAAATTTGGTCGAGTAGTGCAATCGGCTAACAACGCACTTGTGTTACAACTTCAAAGAAGTCTTTGGCGTTGTTTAACCACAATAAGGACGAGTTTTTGTGCCGTTTCGTAACCGTGGATAAGCTGAAGATCGGCCGCAACGCACAAGAGACCAATGCAGTAAAAAAAGTAGGTTTCTCAGGGAGATTCTGTTACAAGGAATACCAAAGTGGTGTTTTCAGCCAATAAAGCCATGGCGCCCATTTTTTGGAATGAACGCATACCCACATTGATTACTTTCAGAATGGGTAAAACAGGCAATGGCGAACTAATTATAATTGGATCGATTTAATGAGGACTTGAAAAATAAACGACAGCATTTGGCCAATAAAGAGTTAAAGGAATTCAACATTCATCAAAAATATCAAAATTTCTCTGTTTTAGTGGTTAGGTCGGCTACTTATGGGACTGCCTTCGTATGAAATAGAATTTTCAATTATAATTAATGTTAAAAAAGTTTCGAAGAAGTAAAGAACGATCGGTGTTGTGAGCTGTCGGGCTTTTCCGACCGCTTGAAAAAATTCCAAAAACAGAAAGTCAGAACGCGAAATCGCTTAAACCTAACAAACTTGGCTTTATTCTCGACAAGCGAAAAATTCAATCCGTTTGTTTTTGAGCGATGGGTTACTGATCATATATCTACTTTTCCAGGGCTGTTGAACTATATTAGTCCGTTCCGTTTGCTCTCATGTTTTGGACTCCCCCGCTTTCAATAGCAATGAAAATCACTCAGTCCGCTCAACGCTATGCACTCGGGCTTGATCTGTTGTATGCCCTTTATCAAAATAATATCAAAATAGTATTCAAACTGTATTTGAGTTTATTTAATCTTACAGCTTTTCTAAGCCACTCTGTATTTGCAGTGTCCCTCACCAGCATTGTTCGTCGAATAATAAAATTGTTAACATACATTATTGAACCCAATGCAAAAGCAATCTTCAAAATACTACAGCGAAATCGAAGAAAGCTATGTCTTTATAGTGGACCATGAAAACTCTTTTTTATACATTCCGTAGGCCAACCAGTATAAAAGATTAAAAATCGCAAATGACATGGGAAAAGCAATGCGCGCGATGCGGTCGATTAGCGAAACGCTGTTTACATAGCTCACGTTGCGACCTTGTTCAGTCTTTTCTGCAGCTGCGTCGCGTTCACGCTGTTTTCGGAACTTTTCGTCGCTCTTTAGGCAGAGCCATATCTGACGCATACGCGAAACGACTGGCGGTTCCGTTTGCGTCGTTCGTTCCATGGTGGTTGTACGCGAGGAAGTCTTGGGAAAGAGTAATGTTGGAGCCTATTCATAAACAGAGTGCAGTTACAGAACGGTATTTTAATTTATTCATATATACATACATATGTATATATTGATATAAATAAATGTACTTACGTTGAAGATAGGACAAGTGAGGGCCTTGCGTTTATGAAAACCGGTGTCATCTAGTGCTACTGGTAATGATTCTGCAGATTCGAATCGAAGAGTTTCATGTTCAGAACAAACGCAAATATCATTCTCTGAATTCAGTTGCTCACTGATCTCATCGCTGCCATCATCTTCTATATCTTCGTCACTTACTTCTTCGTTGGCTTCAATGACATGTGCTGGTAGAATGTTAGTTTTCCTGATATTTTCCAAGTGCTCTTCCAGACGTGGTATTTCGCCACTACCAAGCTTAGTAAAATAATGAACACCAGCAAATTCTAGCAATGTGGCTATGCAATAGAGGAAACTCATCAGAAGGAACCAGTCCAGTGCAGTGGCATACTTGACCTTGGGCAAGTCAGTCCTAGAGTCCAAACTTATGGTGGATAGCGTTAAAACTGCTGTCACACAGAGACCGACACGGTCGCTAGTGGCCTCACGATGTATCCAAAATGAAACCCAAGACAATACCACGATCAAAATGCAGGGCACATAAACCTTAAAAGATTTTCTTGTTACTGTATATATTTAAATAGTATATAAACAGGTAAAAATACTAACTTGGATAAGAAAGTATCCTGTGTGACGTTTGAGGTTGAATGCTACATGCAATACTGAAAAGTCACCCTCCCGTCGTGTTGATGTAAAATTGCGGTGCATCATGCTAATGAGATCAAATTGGTTAAGAGTCATTCCGGGCACAAATGAAACTGCATCATCTTGATTTTTCCACTCGTACACTAGCTGTTGGTTCGTATAGCCATCTGACATATTTAATGTCTTAATAAGGCATTAAACAAGATATGGAGAACTGGAAATATATACTTACAGCTTCCAATTATAAGGGGACACGACTGTCTATCCATTGGAAAGTTTTTCAGCTCCATGGGACATGTGGCTTTAATGGTTAATCTGAAAAAAGCAGTCCGGAAACATGGACTCGAGGTATTACCTTTAAAACGTAACTTACCTCATCGAATAAAGAATTCCGCCGTCTTGATCAAGTCTAAGTAATTTGTTTGGCACAGTGATTGTGTGTATATGAGAATGCTTTCCATTATAAAAGTAGGTGTCTGGTCGCCAGATTTTGTCTAGCATCTTAATGCTCAAGGATAAACTTTTAATTGGTCCCTTAAAACTTAGCCGCTCATCTCGCCAATACTGTCTAAAATAGCAATCCATCGAATATTCCATGTCAAGTTCGGACACCGGGCCCATGCTTCGTATAAGTATATTGGTTTGCACCACTGTAGGCATCCCCTGTCCATGTGTGGGAAGTTGTGACTGTTCATAGCGTTTAAGAAGGTTTTCCAAAATGTTAGAAATATTGCGGCTGAGAATGTCTGTAGACACCAAGCGCGCCACTCTATTTTGATTTGTAAATTGTGATTCGTTTTTGGCAATTTCATGAGGTTGCCTTCGCTGTTTATCAAATATAACCGTTGTTGGTGGAATCTGTTTTACATGATAAGACTCGTATATTCTGCTGGCTTTTAACTCAGTTGTTATTCTGGGTATTTTTCCTAGTACCTCAGATTTGATTAATGGAACGATTGAAAGCACATTTGATTCTTTTTGAGTCGGTATACTATGGCTGCAATGCCATTCCAGTATACTTATGTAAATTGAAAATCTGTAAGAAGATTGTATCATATCATATCAGTGTATTCAAAAAACCATGGATTCTTAAACGAGGGAAGAAATTTTTGAAAGCTGTTTGCGTTTGACCCTCTCGCATCGACGTCAAAATATTCGCTTTTGGCCAAGTTACGCAAAATTTGGGTATATGTATAGTTCAAAAGCCCATACCCAAAACAAACGAGAAGGAACGTGTGAGGCGCTTCTAAAGACGCGACTCTACTTATACCCGTACTCAGTCAGTATTTACATTTTTGAACATATGATTTTCTAGAATTTCAGCATTAAAAAAAAATTTTTTACATTTTACATTTTTTTGCTACATATGATATCTACATCTACATATACAATGTATATTCTACATCTAACATGTAGATTGTACATGTTCCAATTAGATTCTACATCTCCTCCGCTAGGGGTTGCTCGCTTACTGAACGCGGCAGAGTGTGCGAGCGAGAAGGAAAATGAGTTGCGTTGTCGTCGGTAGGAAGGGGCAGGGAAAGCAACAGAAAATTAATTTCTTCATTCTGGCTAAATTTATGATCTGATCTGATTCAGATTTGGCAATCTGGTAGATATGGGCATTCTCTACGATACTGCGTTTAGTTTTATCGTATCTTTAAAATTGTGCCTGCCACAGATTTTCGTTCTTTGTGGGGGCGGAAGGGGGCGGGGCGAAATTTTGAAATACACTTGTAGCAGTGGGATATCACATGAGTCTGGAAACCAAATTTGGTTGCCCTAGCTCTTATAGTCTCTGAGATCTAGGCGCTCAACAAGACAGACAGACGGACAGACGGTCAGACGGACAGACGGACAGACAGACATGCCTCTATCGACTCGGCTATTGATGCTGATCAAGAATATATATACTTTATGGGGTCGGAAACGTTTCCTTCTCTGCGTTACACACATCCACTTTTACCACAAATCTAATATACCCCTTAACTCTTTTTTGAGTACGGGTATAAAAAGGCTAATAGGTTAATTATAAAATGTACGTGCAAGAACTAACTGGTTATGGTTTTTTTTTTTAAATGTTCAACGTTTCGTTTTTTCTACTCGTACTCAAAAAAGTATTAAGGGGTATATTAGATTTTTGGTAAAAGTGTATGTGTGTAACGCAGAGAAGGAAACGTTTCCGACCCGATTAAGTTTATATATTCTTGATCAGCAACAATAACCGTGTCGATATAGTCATGTCTGTCTGTCCGTCTTGTTGAGTGCCTAGATCTCAGAGACTATAAGAGCTAGGACAACCAAATTGGGTTTCAGACTCATGTGATATCACACTGCTACAAGTGTATTTCTAAATTTCGTCCCGCCCCCTTACGCCACCACAAAGGACGAAAATCTGTGCCAGGCACAATTTTAAAATAATTCATTTACAGTTGCTTCCCCCGTCTCTCCCTGCATGAGACATGCTACTGATTCTTTTTCTCGCTCGCACACTCTGCCGCGTTCAGTGCGCGAGCGCCCTCCAGCGGAGGAGATGTAGAATCTAAATGGTCCATATAGCATATAAATCATATGCTCAAAAATGTATATACTGACTGAGTACGGGTATAAGTACGACTCACACGTTCCTTCTCGTTATTTATCGAATCTTTCCTATTAGAGACTGACGAAAAGTATGCAAATCTTAACCTAATATATTTATTTAATTAGTTACACTTAATTACTTAGAGTACGTCCCTAGCTAAGTATTATTGCTTCGATTGAGCTCTCTGGATTATTTCTAAATTACTAACGCAAGCATTTCCCCATAGCTCGGAGCCGTATGTCCAGATGGGTTTGAGAACTGCATTGAAAAAAAGTACTTTGTACTCCAGTTTTAGTGGTAAACGGGTGTTTATTAGCCAATGTAGATTACTAGCTTTAAATTTAAGTTGATTTCTCTTCGCTTCGATGTGTTTACGCCAAGTAAGCCTTCTATCCAGATGAACACCAAGGTATGTTACTTCGGTGGTTTGTGGAATGTTTATATTGTTCAGGCATAATGGAGGGCAAGTTTGTCTGTTTAACGTAAAGTTGACATGCTTGCACTTTTGCTGATTTGCATGTATCCGCCAGTCTGCTATATGATAAGTGTTCCGTGGCCCTTCTTGGGCACTTGGAGCGACTTAATATGGCAGTATCATCAGAAAATGTCGAAGCTGTTGTTAGGCTGTTTGTCAGTAGATCTGCTGTGAATATGATATACAGTGTCGATCCAAGCACGCTGCCTTGCGGTACACCAGCTTCAATTGGATGATATTCAGAGAGGAAATTTTTGCATCGTACTGCGAAACTTCTTTGCTGTAGATATATTTTGCTATATTTTCGCGGAATCGCTTGCTAGTTGGGGAGAGTTGCTCCATATAGGATATTTGAGCTCGGTTTTTTTCATCTTCTAGGGCTCTGCGTAGTAGGTAGTTGGCTATTTTTAGCCGCTCTTTCGAAGCAGGTGATCTGTGTGCTTGCAACTTTAGGCGAAGCCTTCTTTTATCGGGAGGAACAGCTTGACTTCGAAAAGTTACCGCTTTGGTCCGACCTTGAAAAAGTTTTAAATCGTCTGCGGAAGAGTCGACAAAGACAAGGCACGACTAAGTCATGCCAAGAAAGTCGCACAATCGCAGAGCATTTGCTTGTTCACTCTGCACGACATTTTCACCTCTCTCGGTTATGCAAAGGTTTAGTGTTCACAAAGTCTGCATCCTTATGTATTAATTTTCTACAAAAGGGTCACTGGGACACTGTTGTAAGATGTAAGGTCGCCAAATGTCGAGTTTGTGCCCGCTTACATCACACATTGTTGCATAGATACACCGTGACTAATAATAGTCTCGGGTTGCCGCCACCCCCAGAGAATTCTTCTCCTCCCTTAAATCAGGATCACCTACGAAGCGAAGCAATACACTATAAGCAGTAATGATATATGTGTGTAGGTACGGGAACGTACTGAGAGAGCGATTTTCAGTATAAGAGATGATGTGTGACTATGTGATATCAATTTCTTAGGAACTTTTAACGGCTGCTGCTCCGAACATACTCCGCCCCGTTGAAAGACCAGGGCTTTTAACAGGATCCCCAACGGGTAGGACGCACAGCTTGTTGACAGCTCGACGAGTGGTTCCAGATGGCACGTTCTTGGAGCAGAGTCAAATACTCCTCACTCCAACGCTTCCAAAAGATCTGCTGAGCACAGGCGACTCGTTGCCAGCAATCTAGTCTGTTAAAGTTTGGATTCGTAACGTCTGGCTCGGGAAGCTCCATCAGCGGACGACCAATTAGAAAATGTCCTGGTGTAAGGACGCCAAGATCTTCAGGATTTTCTGAAATTGCGAGAAGAGGACGAGAATTTATTACAGCCTGGATTTGGCAGACCAATGTCCGAAGCTCGTCAAAGCCAAAGAGTGACGATCCCAGGGAACGATATAAATGCTGCTTGGTCATCTTCACTGCTGCCTCCCATAAGGCCCCAAAGGGGGGCGAGCGAGGCGGGAAAAACATCCAATTGAAGCCAATGATTATGAACTGGTGGCGACCAAATGCATCGGGGTATGCCGCGCGTGGCAACGAAGCATTTGAGGGCACTCAAAAATCCAGCAGTTGTGAGGTCCTTCACTAATTCCAACCAAACGGCCTTTGTTGCAAAACAGATCAAGACGCTGATGTAGCATTTTGTAGGCGTTCGACTGCGCCCATCTGGCTTGTAATAGAAACGACCGCAGTAGTCGATTCCACTGACGCTGAATGCAGGCGAATCCTGCATTCGATCCTTCGGTAGGTCAGCCATTATGTGCTCCACAAGACGAGGTCTGGACCTGCAGCAGATGCTGCATTTCCACAACGCTCAAGCAACAGTTTTCATGCCGCTGATGGGCCAGAACTGCAAGCGAATCGATCCCAATAGCGACAGCGGACCAGTATGGTGATTCTTCCGATGAAAGTGCATGATGATGGCGAACGTCAATGGATGATCCCTGGGCAAAATGATTGGGTGGCGTTCATCGAAGCCAAGAGTTGAGTGCCTCAAGCGACCACCAACACGAATCAAACCAACGTCATCTATGAAAGGCGAGAGAGATATAATGCTGCTGGAGGACTCAACACAGTTCCCCTTCTGCAGAGCACGTTACTCAGGATACAGGTGGGCCCGTTGAACGATGCGACACAACAAATGCGATCCTTTGCGAAGGTTTTCAGACGAGAGATATGGTTACTTTTCCTTACTGATGAACGTATCCAAAAATGCGCATCATGACTCCGAATGAGTTAGTGTGCTTAAACGAAAGCGAGATGTCGACACGCTCAGACGATAGCAATACTCGATGTCTAATTTCCGGAAGATTGAGTTCGGGCGAACAACGTTCTGGCCAACTACTTCTTTTGCCTTGCAAGAAGGAAGGTCCATTCATCCACAAACTAGACTGCAAGAGCTTTTGAGGCGCTGCTCCCTTTGACAGAATGTCAGCCGGGTTCATTTCAGTTGGGACATAGCGCCAATCCATGCTGTTGCTGTAAGTTTCTGTATTGCAGAAATCTTGTTAGACACAAACACGTTGAATTTGGATGGTTCCTCTCTCAACCAAGACAGTACCACAGTTGAATCCGACCAGCACTGGATCGGGCAGTCGAAGGTATCCATTTTTATAATTTCGCAAAGTAAATTGGCTAATAGGAATGCTGCACATAGCTCAAGCTTAGGCACCGTGAGGGTTTTCAATGGTGCAACTCTAGTCTTCGAGCAAAGAAAATGTACCTCATCGGCGGTATCCTTAAACGAACGAGCATAGATACAAGCCGCATAGGCCTGGACGCTGGCATCACAAAAGGCATGCTATTCAAACCTTGCCTTAGGTTGAAGTATGTAACGCGGAAATGTAGCGTGACCCACAGTAGCGAAGTCCTTGCAAAACTCAGCCCAAGCCGATTCCAGTGGCTGAGGAAGACTTTCATCCCAATGCAGCTTGTCTCTCCACATGTGCTGCATGATGATTTTCGCTCTTGTCA